GCCATTGTTGGGGGCATTTCCTTCCCACAAATCAGAGGGTAAGTCAGTTTTGAGGCCTGTTCAGTCATCATCTCTCTGTCAGTCTATATAGCATAAGAGTAATTCATTGAATGTATTTGTTCATTGTAACTATTTCATGAGCCAAGATGTGGTGATTAGTTTCTGGAGGCTAGGCTTAGTATAGTCCTATGGTTTCAGGCTGCTGAGGCTGACAGCCTTGTTGACATAGGGGTCACATGATTGTCATGAGCAGTCTCCAAGAAGAAGTCAGGATTTCTTTATTTATTTTACAAATAAGCATGTCCAGTATTTTGAAGTGTTCCAGCAGAAAGAAAGTTATGCAGTGCTTCAGCAAACTGTAAACCGATAGGTACATCAAACATGATTCTTTTGCTCAACCTTTGTTGCTGAACTTTTTTTGGAGACACCTCTTTAATACATCGTACTGTCTCATTAGACTTTAAAGCATATGATTGAAATGACTTAAAGACTATTCACAGAGTTTATATAAGAATGGCCTTAGTTTGGTTGGACTACACAGTCTATACTTACTTCATTCATATCATTGTGTTCCAAGTGTGGTACAAACACTTTACAGAAGAGATGGAGCCTTACATCCAACTCTCTCCACTGCCCTCCCCTCTGCAATATTAATCTTGTGTTATCTTTTTGCTGAAGTATTTTCAAGTGCTTCTTTACTTGCTCTTGGTGCTGAATGCAGAATAACTTGTTTAACATGCTGAGACTTTCTGAAAATCTGCCTGGAATTATAAGAGGTAAGAAGTAGAAAGTACATCTTAAATAAGTACATCCTAGATCAGGCAATTACAATAATGCATATCTAGTAAAAATAACATCAGATTTTTTAATTTATTCTGGATAGAGGTATGTGATCAAAGAGAAAAGGGAACATACCTGTGCTGGCTTGGGTATGGCAGTGTGTGAGTGTGTTTACCTGTATGACAGTTTAATTCTCTGCAAATGTCATATGACATTTCTAGGGGAAGAAATGCAGGATGTAATGAGACTACTTATATTTAAGAGTCATATAGATATTTTAGGAAGCTTTGAAATAACAGCTTGTCAGTCCTTCAACTTGGACGAGATTTTTTTTTTTTTCTTCCAGTGGGATATAATAATAAACAGATACTTTTTAAAATCTGTATTTCACCGACTATTTTACATGGAAGTTGAGTATAGCCACATCTATCTGATCTTTGCTATCTTTTTCCTTTCTGTTGATGCTCTTGAGAGTGTGGAGAATTGGGGTCAACAAGGAGAAAAACATAGAATATTGCAACTCCCCAATATAACTTACATTCGTCAAAGCTGACACTTAAATCTTATGGCAGTACGGTAAAAGAAACCTTGCTCCAGGAGAACTAAACAACAACAACAAACCCCCCTGTGTGCATTCTTAGCATTTTTACTGTTTACATATACTTTAAGAGGGGGGGAAAAAAACCCCAACCTGCAGTTTGCAGATACTCTGATGTTGTCCTTGTATTCTCAAGCTTCTGAGGAACTTCTGAAGTGATTCCTCATTTCACGTTCCGACCTTCTCTGCAAGCTATGTGCTTATACATCAAACTTGTTTCTTGCCTGGGGTTTGTATGGCAGGCCTCTACACCCATTGTGCCAGCCACCAACCCTTTCTATTGTGAACAAAGGATAATTGCCTACAATCAGTACTTTATAATTATTTTTCCTGTATTAAAATATTTTCTAACTTCAAGCCAGTCTGTAAATTTGGAGTTGACACTACAATCTATTTTTCTCTTACGGAAACTGCCAAAAGTAAAACATTTGAATTTTTTGTATGGCTTTGGAATAGCAAATAGTCTGGAGGTCCCAACCAAAGCCTGCCCCCCCCCCCCCCCCCCCCCCCCCCCCCCCCCCCCCCCCCCCCCCCCCCCCCCCCCCCCCCCCCCCCCCCCCCCCCCCCCC